AGAGAGAGAGAGAGAGAGAGAGAGAGAGAGAGAGAGAGAGAGGAGAGGAAGAAGAAGAAGAAGGAGGAGGAGGAGGAAGAGGAGGAAGAGGGAGGGAGGGAGGGAGGGAAGGGAGGGGGGAGGGGGAGAGAGGGAGAGAGAGAGAGAGGGAGTGCAGAGGAGTGAAGGAGGCCAGCCATGACCACGTGGAGAGAGGGGGAAGGGGTGAGGGGACAGAGGGAAGCTGGAGGCAAGAGAGCAAGAGAGTGAGGAGGGGGCAAGCAGCCCCTTTTATAGTTGGCAGGCCTACCTGGCTGTTGCCAGGTAACTGTGGGGAGGAGCATACCTGGCTGTTGCCACATTACTGTGGAGGTGGAGTTTAGACAGAAAACTAACATGCACCACAAGGCCATGAGGGTTTTGAAGCATGGGGCTGGCGTGGTAACGACCCGCTAGTGGGAACTTAATGAGCTGGGTGGAAAGATTTTGGAACCCTGAGTCAGAGAGTCTGCATAAGACAAGAACAGGCCAGCGAGACTGCTGGGCCTGAGAGTAGCTAGGTGTAGCATGGGAAATTGCCGATCTTTTTAATATTTCCTGCAACAAGGGACAAAGCACTATAGTATAAATATGGACTGTCCTCCACAGGTTCATTCAGTTAAACACTTGTTCCCTTGTAGGCTGCACCGAAACAGTAAACCTTTCAGAGATGAGGAAACAGGCCATTACGAGCAAGTTTGTGGGTTGTAGTCTCTTCCCAGTCCCAGCTCAAGTCATCCCTGCTTCCCACCGGCCCCCACAGTGTGACCAGGTGTGAGCACCACATGGAGGCAGAGCTCTAGCTGCCCTCACCATGAAACTGTGAGCTAAGAGCAATCCCCTTAACCCTGAGCGGCTTCTTGTCGGTGTGTGGTCACAGCATTACAAGAAGTACCTAATACACCACCTAAGAGATATTAAGGTGACAGCTGGTCACACAGCCCTGGGGCTCTGAGCCTTTTTGAGATAAAGTGTAGTCTATTTGTGGGGGCCCTCCTTCCAAATGATCTGATACCTTCATTTCCCTCCCCAGAATGAGCGAGAACAGATCATGACCACCAACATCTGGCTGAAACAGGTAAGTGCATTGGAGGGTCCCCAGCCCAGATGATGCTTCCTGTGGGGCTGCTCTTTGGTGACAGTGGACCTACAGGTGACAATGGCCTGTGTACTTAGGAATGGACTGACTACCGCCTGGCCTGGAACAGCTCCTGCTATGAAGGCGTGAACATTCTGAGGATCCCCGCAAAGCGTGTCTGGTTGCCTGATATCGTGTTGTACAACAAGTGAGTGACGGGGTGGCCAAAGTCTAGACTCAGGCCAGGACAGCAGGTCAGCCTTCAGGGGCGTCTATACCTGAGTCTAACCCTGGCCTTCCTTTTCTACACTTCCCTCAGACTTCTAGGTCACGGAGCTAGAGAACTAGAGGTGATGGAGACAGAGTAGGAGGGTGGGAGGTCCAGAGGCCCTGTGCTGCTCAACACAGTGGGCACTGGGCTAGCCTTCAGACCCCTGGGCCAGTGCCCTTACTTACAATCCTTGACTTACCATTCTCACGTTTTGTGACTCGGTGGCTTTGTCAGTGTTGGGGGCTGCAACATTGGCCTGTCGTGTGTGCAGTTCATGCTGGCAGCTGAGTAAGAGGATCGGGAACCCAGGAGTTTGAGATCTGTCTAGGCAAAGAGAACAAGAGTGGGGGAGAAAGAATGGGTGGCCAAGGACCAAACAAGACAGGGTCCATGTCTCTTCTCTCCTGCTTAATAGTTTGAGAGGCTTGATAGAGTCCTCCAGCTTCCCCAAGCCTTGCCGCCCAAGCTGTAAAATGAGGAACACAGGAAAACTACTGCTTCTATAGACTCTTGTGGGGCTTAACTGGGCTGATTCCATGAGAGACTTTCAGTGTCTCATGATTTGTTGAGAAAAGCAGGGTTGTTTCAGTGAGGAAGTCAGATGACCCCCAAGAGATCTTGGGGGTTCTGAGAACAGGCCAGGCTTCCTCTGTAGATTTGTGATGTTTTTCTCGATGTCCTGTCCTGCCCCAGTGCTGATGGGATCTATGAGGTGTCTGTCTACACCAACGTCATCGTGCGTTCCAATGGTAGCATCGAGTGGCTGCCTCCTGCTATCTACAAGAGTGCCTGCAAGATTGAGGTGAAACAGTTTCCCTTCGACCAGCAGAACTGCACCCTCAAGTTTCGCTCCTGGACCTATGACCACACAGAGATTGATATGGTTCTTAAATCACCCACAGCCATCATGGATGACTTTACCCCCAGTGGTGAATGGGACATTGTGGCCCTCCCAGGACGAAGGACAGTGAACCCGCAGGACCCCAGCTATGTGGACGTGACCTATGACTTCATCATCAAGCGCAAGCCGCTCTTCTACACCATCAATCTCATCATCCCGTGTGTGCTCATCACCTCCCTGGCTATCCTGGTCTTCTACCTGCCTTCCGACTGCGGGGAGAAGATGACGCTCTGTATCTCTGTACTGCTGGCGCTCACATTCTTCCTGCTGCTCATCTCCAAGATCGTGCCTCCCACCTCCCTTGACATTCCACTCATTGGCAAGTACCTCTTGTTCACCATGGTGCTGGTCACCTTTTCCATCGTCACCACAGTGTGTGTTCTCAATGTGCACCACCGCTCACCCAGCACTCACACCATGGCATCCTGGGTCAAGGAGTGCTTCCTGCATAAGCTGCCCACCTTCCTCTTCATGAAGCGCCCAGGTCTTGAAGTCAGCCCCGCCAGGGTCCCTCAACCCACCCGGCTGCACTTGACCACAAATGAAGCTGCAGCCACCTCTGCCTTAGGCCCCACCAGCCCATCCAACCTCTATGGGAATTGCATGTACTTTGTGAACCCTGTCCCTGCTGCTCCTAAGTCTGCAGCCAGCTCCCACACCGCAGGCCTCTCCAGGGATACCCGGCTGAGGTCCTCTGGGAGGTTCCGGCAGGATCTACAGGAAGCATTAGAGGGCGTCAGCTTCATCGCCCACCATCTGGAGAGTGATGACCAAGATCAGAGTGTAAGTCACTGCCCTGCCCCCACCACTTGAGGAAGGCATCCATACTGAAATGCTTTCTTATAGCTTCCTAGGTGAGGAAGAGGAAAAAAACAATGAGCTTCCTGTGTTGGTCTTGGGTTGACCCAAAGCAGATTCTGAGATGAGGCTTGGGTTCAGGTAGCTTACTTGTGATGTAACCCTAGGAAGCACAATGAGGAGGTGGAGAAGGCAAGATAAAGGCAAAAAGGAGGCCGGCTATAGGATATTAATGAGCCTAATGTTGTGGGTGCAGTAGCCCCATAGAGACCCCCAAGGGGCCAGACAGCTAGCCTCAGAATTGTCCCTTGAATGGAGGCTGGAATATTTATCCTCCAGCTCCATCTGCCTCCAGTTGACAACAACCCTCGGATGTGATCTTTCTCGTGTTTCCCTTTATGTCCAGTTGCCAGAGCCAGCACCCTTGGTGCTAGAGAAAACCCTGAGCAGAGCAGAGAGGGGCTGCATGCCCTGGAGTGAAAGGTCCTCAGTGGATTTGAAGGAGGTTCGGCTATCCTTAGAGAGCACAGCTTGGGCTAGGTTGCATGGGGCACATGATCCTACTCACTCAGACTTGCAAAGCAGCTCTATGAAGACTTATAACTTTCAGATGTATAGAAACATCAGTAAAAGCATTATTTCTACCAGGCTGATAAATTATCATGTGGAGTGACTAGAATTACAGATTTTCTAAAATGAGGTTCAGTTCTCCTTCACAGGAAACCATGAATCCTAGAGTGTATGCATCTCAAAGAACTCCTCTGAGGAAACTGCATATGTGTTTCAGTTTCACTCTGTTGCTGTGACAAACCTGGGACCAGAAAAAACTCCAGAGAGGGAAGAATTTACTTGGCTTATACTTGGAAGTCACAGTCCATCACTTAGGGAAATTAGGGCAGAAACTCAAGGCAGGAATTTGAAGCCAACCCTGCTTGCTATTCCAACAGTTTTATTTCTATCTGGGGAACTCACCACAGCCAAGAATGACAACAGAAATCTTGGAGGAAGGCTGCTTTGCTGGCTCACTCACAGACTCACGCTCAGCTAGTTTTCTTATACATCTCAGGCCACTTGCCTAGGGAATGGTGCTTCCTATAGTGTGCTCTCCTATATCAGTTAACAATCAAGACAATCTCCCACACACATGCTCACAATCCAGTCTGTTCAAGATAGTTCCTCAGTTGAGACTCATCCCCGGTGATTGTAGGCTATATCAAGTTGACAATGAAAACTAACTAGATTTATGGGTAAGGAAGAGTTTACAATGGGGGTCTTCATGATTAGGCCTTCCTATGCATTTTTCTACCTGAAAGAACATTTGTCAGATGTATGACAATGTTCCAGTTTTTACGTTGCAACATTGTGTCTCTCCAGTTGGCAGCTACATGAACAGAAGAGGATTTCTTCCTTTTTACCTTTTTGGAATTTCTTTCTGACAATTGGAATCTCAGGAGAGAATGCTGGTTTTCCATTAGTTAGCACCAACTGAAAAGCACAGGCCACAAAGTTTTAGAATTACACTGTGAGGAGGAAAGAAGAAAACTGCTAAGAAAATGAAGACAGCCTGCTACTCAGAGAGTAGCTCCGGTCCTGTAGCCTCAGCCTCAGCGTGGGCTTATTAGATGACTCTCAAGCCTCCAGCTCAGATCTTTTTTAACTGCATGTGTCTTTAATTAATAAAATTTACCAAAGTAAAATATCTAATAAACCACAGGAACCAAAGGGTTCCCAGAAATAACCTCATGGTCAATAGGGTTGAGCAAAGTCAGGGACAACAGATTTATTTGTTAAACAACACAGTATCTAGGGGGATGTCAAATCTGTAGAGGCCTTGAACCTAGAACTAGTCCTGGGATGCAAGTATTTTAGTCTAGATGAATCTTCAAAGCTGCAGCTTTTGAGGAAGCTTGAGCTGCTGCTGGCTCTATGAAGGTGGCAGAGCACCAGAGCTTTGGCGAGGGCTGAGTCTTATCTCTGGAGCTGAGTCTGATGGCTTCAACTGCTACAGATTGAACTGGGTCCATGGTTGATAGAAATGGGCCAGTGGTTGCTGTAGTCGGGGTATGGGCAGCTAGCGTCACACCCAGAATATTCCCCAGGCCTGATCAAGACTGGAGAAGGGATGGGAAGATACCAGAAGAGTTGGGTTGAAGAAGGGAGCCAACTTCTGCTAGGCTTGGGAACATGGGATCACCAGTGGCCTCGGCATTAATGGGTACATGACCTCCTGTTCTAGTGCTATGAGTGAGGGCTCGCCCATTTCGAATCCCAGGTGTTTTTAGATATTCTTGGGGATGCTCCCGAAAGTATCTAGATCTCCAGTTCTTAAATCATATCTGGATCTGTTATTCCATCACACAAATGCTTCATGCTAGCTCCTTGCATTGCTCGAAGGAAGGATACTTGGACTTTTCAAAGAAGAATTCTTCCAGCTTACTCTTTTGTTCCTGGCTATACCTGGTGTGCCCTCTCCACTCCCTGATAGGAGTCTTGCAGGGAACTTGTGGCCTTGGAAGGACCTTAGGAGCCACAAGTGGAGCTAAGGGACAGGGCCAAACCTGAAAGCCTGGGTTCACTAGGAATCCTGGAGACATCTGTAGACCTTCAAGTAATGAGAGGATTTGTGATACTTGGAGATTATGAGGCGTTAGGGGCATTTGGAGACCTTCAGGTAATAGAGGGCTTTGGGGCATTTGGTGACAATGAGGCACGAGCAGGGCTGGAGGCATTTGGAGATCTGGGGACAATGGAGGTCCAGAGATCCAATGTGTAGGCAGAATTGTTGGGAGAGCATTCTGCTTTGGAAGCCTGGAAAATCAGCAGGCTCCTGCATCTTGGTGTGCTCTGTTCTAGTGTTTGAGGATTTTGATCCCAGGACCTGGACTTAAATCACCTCTGATGATTGGCCCTCCCTTCCACCCATTCCGAAGCTTTCTTGTCCTGTTGTCCTTGACTCTTCATCTCAGAATTTTAACCAGATCTCTGGGACCTCCTAGCCCCATTGCAGTCAGAAGCACAGCTCTGTTGTATTTGATCATGTTATTCTTTCTTTCATTCTCTCCTCCCCTTCCCTCCTTCATCTCTTTGTAGCTTAAGCTGGGTTTGAACTCACTACATAGCGGAAGGAGGCCTTGAACTTAAAAAGAAAATAGCATCAACTTTTTACTCTTAGAACTAGCCTCATCATCAACACCACACCACCCCACTCTGAGCTGCCCTGTGCTTCGTATTCCTTTTGTTTGTTTGTTTGTTTGTTGCTTTTTCGAGACAGGGTTTCTCTGCATTGTCCTGGTTGTCTTGGAGCTGACTCTGTAGACCATGCTGGCCTCAAACTCAGAAATCCACCTGCCTCTACTTCCCAAGTGCTGGGATTAAAGATGTGCGCCACCACCACCCGGCTCGTATTCCTCCTTATGTATATCAATATTCCTACTGAATCATGAGTTCTCACCTCTTTTGTTGTCCTTCACCACCTCAGTCAAAACACTCAGAAGTGAACATGCCATTTCTCTTTTCTTGAGATAGTGTCTCATGTAGCCCAGGATAGCCTTGAACTTACTATGTAGTTGAGGATGACCTTAAACTTCTTTTCCTACCTCTGCCTCCCCAGGGTGGGGATTTCAGGCACACACGTAGTTTTTATTCTGGTGCTGAGGATCAGACCTATGGCTTTGTACATGCTAGGCAAATGTCATATCTCTAAGCCACATCCCCAGGACTAGCCTTGGACATCTGTCTTCCTGCCTCCACCTTCCAAGTGCTATAATTACATCTTCGACTGAGGCAGGCAGGGTTTCTAGGGGAAGCTTTAGGGACCACTTAAACTCCTGTGGGTTCCTGTGCACATCCAGGTTGAGAAGGTTTCCTGCGGCCCTGCTTGAGCTAGCCCCCATTCTAGGCTTGGCATTTGCAGGCCTCCTCAGTTCATTACAAGCCCCAAGAGGGAGGGAGCCAGGCAGAACTCAGTGGGATTAGAACCGCCTGTGTTCCTGTGGCACCAAACTTATCAGGTGCTCTGGCAGGAGTGGCCAAACAACCAACCCTAACTCCAGGAATCACAATGGGAAGCAGAGGCCCAGGGATTCTGGGAAGAGTCTTTATTTCACAATGGGAAACTGAGGCCCAGAGACATCGTCTGACTTGTCTGGGGTCACATGGCTGGCACAATCCTTGAACTCTGAGTCCCCTCTGAGGGTCTTGCCCTGTACTGAGCATATGATGATCAATGACTGGCTAGCTGGTTTCCTCCTGTGTGGTTAGATACGTCTGCTTTCCCTCTCCTGGAAGGTCCACTCCTAAGCCATCTCGAGAGCTGTTTGTCGTCTATAGCACCTTTGCCCTCCATGGTGACTAACTGGTCACTGTAAGGAACTCAAAAACATGAAAAGATGGAAATACGCTTGAAATTAAGGCTGTTGAAATGAATCTCCAACCTTAATATCTGTGTGGAGAGTCCTGCAGTGCCTTCTGGGTCTTAGGAACAGGAACAATTGGTGTTTGAGGGAGTGGAGGCTGGTCTGACATAGGATTATCCTGGAGTGTGACACATTCCATTGATGAGGCCTTGGAAAATTGGGTCACTGACGTCAGCTTGCCCACTGATGCCTGCGTTTCTAACTCTTGAGTCTACAGAGCCTTCCCAGCTTGGGGTGGGGGGGGGGAGGCTGGGATGCTGGGTCCATGGCCATTCTGTGGTACCCCTGGAAGCCAGCCAGGTTTCTACTAGGTTCACATCCTGTGACTGGGTCTGAGAAGACGAAGCATATGTAAAGCAACAGAGTTGGAATGCCAGAGAGCCAGATGCTGAAGCCAGAGGAGGCAAAGTCTTCATTATAGAAAACGGTTATTCCTACAGTTTACTGCTGTTTATATATTTCACTGCTGTGACTAGCATGGAACCGTTTAAACCGTGGGGTTTCTAAATGTTATGCAAGCTCTTGTCAAGCAAGTGGGCCCTTCATCTCCCTCTCTGCAGAGCTACCTCAGGCAGAAGGTTTAGGGTTAATGATGAGAGAAAAGAACCTTGTGATCCCTGAGCCTCAACATGCTTCACCCATAACCAGATTTGGCTTTGAAATGGCTGTGTGTGGTATATTTGGGTCTCTGTTTCTGCATCCATGGATTCAACTGACCATGGGGAAAATAATGGGTGGAGAAAGTGTCTCCACTAACAAGTACTTCCCTCCCTGTCATTAGTCTCCCAAATACAACCCAGTGATGACTCGTGAGGCATTTACATTGTGTTAGGAACTCACAAGGTCTATAGACATGGTAAATTCAGGGGAGGGCTTCATGATGTCTTATGTTTTTATTTCAAAGATGAACCCCATGACCAAAATCAACTTGGTATAGAAAATTTGGCTTACATATCCTGAGTCATACGTAGTTCAACTAGGGGAGCCGAGGCAGGAAGTGAAGCAGAAGTCATGGAGAGACACTGTTCACTGGCTTGCTCCTCATGGGTGATACAGCCTGCTTTCTTGTACCCAGGACCACCTGACCAGGAGTGGCATCGTCCACAGTGGGCTGGGTTCTCCGCATCAATCATTAACCAAGATGCCCTGCAAACTTGCCTACAGACTAATATGATAGAGCCATTTCCTCAGTTGAGGGTCCCTCTTCCCAGAGGACTCTAACTTGTGTCAAGTTGACCAAAACCTAACTAGCATATATGAGTTATATGCAAATATTGCACCTTTTCTATGAGATCTAGAGCATTATCAGAGTTGAGGGGTCATAGAGATCCAGAGGAGACTGAGGACAGTACAGCCCAAGTCCCCATGGCTTTGCTACTCCCTCCCCCAACCTTAGTCAGGTCAGGTGGGGTTGAAGAACACCATGAGAAGCCCAGCGGAGGCCAGCCTGGGATTCAGAACCTGCTCTGTCAATGCATAATTCTAACCCCCACATTGCTTGTGTGGTGTTGGTCAGCAGGTGAGGCTGTGATTCAGAAGGAGGAGGTACTCTGTGCTTGGCACCTGTAACCAGCCCCTGTTTGTCTGCAGGTCATCGAGGACTGGAAATTCGTCGCGATGGTCGTTGACCGCCTGTTCCTGTGGGTGTTCGTGTTTGTGTGTATTCTGGGCACCATGGGGCTCTTCCTACCACCCCTCTTCCAGATCCACGCACCCTCCAAGGGCCCCTAGGCTACCCAGCATGTTTTGGGCCCCTGTATTGTAGTGAGATGGTATGAGCAGTCGAGTGGGCAGTTTACTGCTTCATCTGGGTCGTAGCTAATGAGGCCCTAAGTAAAGCTATGACTATTGGCAGTCAGCCCATCAAACTAGCCACAGCCACGAGGACAGAGATAGGTGGCTTACACTGATCCCTCTGAATGCCTTTGAGTAAGTCCCTGAAGGAGGGGGATTAGACTGCTGAGGTCCAGCCTGGCCTCCTTCCTTCCATGTGCCAGGCACTGGAGTCAGACAGCCGTGTGTCATGCCATCACACCCCAGCCCACCTTCCCATCCATCTCCCTCCAATCCCAGCTACTCACTAGATTCCCTGGCTGTCTTTCATTTCCTCACACTTCCAGATTCTCCCAGGTCAGAACCTTTGTATCTGCTGTAGCTACCACCCAAACTTCAGACTCTAAACTCCCAAGCTTTTCACATGGCTGCACTAGTCAGAGCTCTACTCCCATGATCCTCTGCTCCAAGGTCACTTCCTTGTACAAGCCTTCCCTAGCCATGCATTCCAAAGCAGTGTCTCCCATAACCGCATTAAACCTCCAGCTTCCCCAAGTGTTCCCCATCGGCCCCTGCAGTCCTTAGTTGGTGGCACACCAGTCACCAGCACCTTGCTCATTAAAGTGTATGCTCCACAAGGGCCGGGGTGTGTGAGAATTCACATTCACACTCCAGAGCTTGGGACAGAGCTCTGCACACAGAAGGTGCAAAATAATTGTTTGTTGAATGAATGGCTCCTGCTGTCCTTCTCTCTCTCTCAATCTCTCTCTCTCTCTCTCTCTCTCTCTCTCTCTCTCTCTCTCTCTCTCTCTCTCACACACACACACACACACACACACACACACACACACACAAACCCTCTGAGTATCCATACTTGGTCCCCACCTGCTTCCTGCCTTTATACTGTGATTGGTTCAGGCCTGTCTCTTTCACACACTAATCTGTTTCTCTCACAGTGCCTGTCCCATTGTTGGCACTCAAGATACTTCTGGAATTAAGGAGTGTTAGTGGCTTTTTAAAATAAATAAATAAATAAATAAATGTTGCTGTTTTCTTTTTACCCAGCTAGCTCCCAAGTAATTTCGACTGGACTATTCTATTTATTTAACAAGTTTTAAGGGCACAACAACTGAGCAGTATTATTCTATTTTAACACTCTAAACTAATCTGGCCCCACCAAAATCCCAGCAATACTTGCATTTTAGTACTGATATGGCTTTCTGGGATCCAGATATTTTCTTGTGGTATCTCCTGAACTCTCCCCCCAAGTCAAATCCCCACTCATCTCTCTCCTGCCCCCTCCCCTGGCTGGGAGGAAGTCCAGCCCTAGTCTCTTCCCTGCTGAGTCATTGACCGATGAGCTTCTTTATTGACTAATCAGGGAATAATTGGGGAGTGATGTTTATATAACACTGAGATGAGATTCTCTCAGAATAAGGATTGTAGCCAGGTATGGGAGCACAGAAATCAGCATTTGAATAATACAAGGATAATCTTTACACAGGGTATTATTTCATGCCTACAAAGGAGAATATTTAAAAAAAGTTTAAACTATTATTTTATGTGTATGGATGCTTTACCTTCTTGTATGTGTGTGTACCATATACATGTTGGTACCCACAGAGGCCAGAAAAGGGCACTGGAGCTCCTGGAACTGGAGTTACAGACTTGAGCCACCATGTATGTGGTGGGCATCAAACCTAAGTCCTCCAGAAGACCAGCCAGTGCTCTTGACTGCTGAGTCTTCAGCCCCTGAAGGAGAATATTTTAAAGAGTTTTGTTTTTAGAATTAACTTACAATAAAGCTGACTTCTTTAAATTTTAACATTTGTATCTATTTGTATAATCATCATTGACCCGGAACAAAAGAAAGATGTGTCACTTAAACTCTGCTACCCTGTATAGCCCCGCCCCCTGCACACTTAGCTCTGGCCACCCTTGCCTTTTCGTCACTGCTATAGTTCAGTATTCTCAAGCCTGCTGCTTAAATGGAATCCTTCAGGGTCTAAGTGTTAGATGCTGGCTTCTTTCTGCTGGGTCTTTAAAAACAACCTCATTGGGCCAGCAAGATGACTCAGTGAGCGAAGGCACTTGCCTCTCAAGCCTGGAGACCCAAATCTCATTTCTGGAATCCTTATAAAAACACAAGGAGAGAATCGACTCCACAAAGCTGACCTCGGGCTTCCATGTGTGCGCATGCCCCCACATGCCTCATGCTTACGTACACACACACAATGAAAATCTTCTGTAAATGAATGCTTTTATTGAAGCATAAAATTCATTCATTGTGTACTGGGCAATTCCATGAGTTTAAGTATGTTCATCACCATGATCCAGCTTAGTACTGCTCTATCACCCTTAAAGGTCCCCAGTGACCATTAAGGAAACCTTCAAGTGCCAAGCCATCCCTGGTGGGTGGCCAGAGAGATTAAGTGGCCTCAGGACACCTACCCTGTCACTGACTATTCCTGGGACACACAGGCTTGCAGCTGGTAGTGAAACAAAGGGAAATCTATAATGGTCGGTGTGGGAAGCCAGATTCTCTAGTTGTTCCAACTTTACTTATAAAAGTATTTATTTACTATGCTGGGAATCAAAGTCTTAGGTATGCTAGGAAGCACTCTACTGCTGAGCTAGAACCATCAGCGTTTGTCTGTTTTCTCCAGGAGCATCTCTAACATAGTCTAAAAAAAGAAGAGAAAAGGTGTCCACCATGGCGAACTAACTCATCACCAATATTGTTTCGCCTCCAAGCTGTCTAGTCCCTCTTAACTGTATGCGGTATGTATGTATGCATGCATGCATGTACATTTGTGTGTGTGTGTGTGTGTGTGTGTGTGTGTGTGTGAGAGAGAGAGAGAGAGAGAGAGAGAGAGAGAGAGAGAGAGAGAGAGTCATGCTGAAAATAGTTACTTTAAGAGCATCAACTTCCACAGTCCCCTTTTGAGTTGCACTAGAGCTGGCGCATGCGATGGTCCCCTAGCTCTCTTCGGAGCTGCACCTGCCAGAAAGCCCTGGCCGGAGGTTTAACCCTTTAATCCTGTCATGGTGACAATGCCTGTCTGGTCTGGAGCCTAGAGATCTCCAGACTCAGGGCGGCTCTGGGCGAGGCATCAACGCAGGAGACCGTGGCCCGACGCCCCTCCCACGACGGGCGCAGCTCCCGCCTTGGCCTCCCAGCCTCCCCGCCCTGCGGCTGCTTGCAGCGCTTGGCTGCCTGGGGTTCGTGCACTCGGGCGCGCAGATGCGCAGGAGCTCGGCGGGCAGCGCGAAGCCGGGAGGAACCCCGCGGTCCCCGCGCTGTGCTTCGGTGGTCAGCACCAGAGTGGCTCCCGCCCTGCCCATGCGGTCTTCAGACATGGGTGCTGTGCTGCTCCCGCCGCCGCTGTCCATGCGGATGCTGGTGCTGATGCTGCTACCAGGTATGAGTGAGGAGCGGTCGGGTCCGGAGCCCAGGCTGGCTGCGGGCGGTGGCCATCGGGCAGCGGGTGGGTCGCCAGTGCGAGGCTGCAGCCCAGAGCTCGGATTCCCGCACGGCTTTGGCCATCAGCGCCTTAGAAGTCTAGGCGCCCACTTGCCTTGGTTCTCAGCGTGGTCCCACGGTTCTGCCTGTGCACGCGCATCTCAGTCCCTACCACGCTGAATCTCTTGGCTACTCCTTTGTTCCCAAACCTGCCAGTTAGCTGAGGCTCTAGGCTAGCTCAGAACCGGCCCTCCGGTTCTGCTCGGGAGATAGAAGTTTGGGCCCCAGTCCTGAACATCGCTCTGCAGCCCCGCTTCCAGCATCTGCCTCCTGCCCACCGCTTGGTTTTATGGACCATAGAAAAACATGTGCCCATGGAAGGCTAAATATTTGTGTAAAGCCATCGGGTCGTTTTGGAGCGGAGGCTGGACCAAACCTCTGGTTCTGGTCATCCGGTCTCTGCGCAAAATGATCGCGTTGCCTAGAGACCTTCGACGTGATCGCTCCTCCCAGGCCATCGTGGAGGCTCTAGGGGAGCCTATTAGGAGGAAGCCTTTCCAGAGACCCAGGATGGCTGGTACGTGAAAAGCAGCTATGATGTCTCCTGAAGGCGGTCAGAGCACGCAGAGGTTGGGGGCGTGTGTGTGTGTGTGTGTGTGTACGACACCAGCACTGTGGCTGTGCATCATCACAGACTGCTCCACTGTGTGGGTCCTGCCTAAATCTAAATCACGGCCTGAAGAAAATAAGTTGCACCCTCCCTCAAAAGACTGTCCCTAGACTGACTCCAGTACTGTAAGCAGACAGCTTGAGACAAGATGTCTTGTTTAGTTGGGGTGGGCTTGTAAACAAAGGATGCCCAGGGACCAGAGGTAAGGACTGGGATGAGGATTCGAAGACAGCCCTGCCAGGAACCCAGGGCTCGGATTCCCGCACGGCTTTGGCCATCAGCGCCTTAGAAGTCTAGGCGCCCACTTGCCTTGGTTCTTAGCGTGGTCCCACGGTTCTGCCTGTGCACGCGCATCTCAGTCCCTACCACGCTGAATCCTTGGCTACTCCTTTGTTCCCAAACCTGCCAGTCAGCTGAGGCTCTAGGCTAGCTCAGAACCGGCCCTCTGAGCACCTTGGCTCCTAAGATACCGATAATCAAACCCCTGCAGAATTTGGAGAGGATGAAGGAGCTGCAGTCTCTGGCACAGTGGAAAACAGAGCTCCTGGGGGGACCGTGAGTGGCTCCACCCCAGGGTTGGGTGAGTCATCTTTCCACTTGGGCAGCAGGAGTACCACAATCTTTCTTGGAGTAACAATAAAGGTTTGAGCCACTAATAGCGCTTTTTTTCTCTTAGAAAGCAAGGTTGGGCGGTTTATTATGTAAAGGTTAGAGTTTTATTAAGAAGAAAACCAAAAACAAACAAACAAAAAAAACCCAGTATCTGGTTCCCCTGGAAAAACCATTTGCCACCCAGCCTGATGACCTGAGTTTGATTCCCAGGACCCA